CTTTTACCCCTCAAGGAGATTTCAAATGAATTTCTGGTCAACATAAGAGTTGTTCCTCATTGTCTTAGCTTTCTATAATGGTATGGTATTCCTTCATATGATTTGTGGAACTCTACTTATGGTCTTGGCAAGCAAAGGGTATTTTGGTCATCTGAGGATTACAGGTCATTTCAAGCCTATGCCCAAAACTCATACAAGGAAGCTTCAAATGAAAAACTTCACAACATCAAACTTGCTCCAAATGACATTTTGAGTCTAGAAAAGTGACCATGAAAGATTGGAAAGACTCATAGAACAAGGTTTCAAAATTAGTGGATTTAATGAATAAAAAATGACCTAAATTTGAGATTTTTCATAATTTGGCCAAATGGGGTGAAATTATAGGTCATTTTGATTGGAAAAAATGTTTTAAGAACATTGGCAAAAGTAGAATTTTGAGTTTGGTTCAAGATTTAGAAGTTATGCATGGTTTCTTACAAATGAAGTTACATAATCAAAATTCAAGGGAAAATGTGCATGGGAAGTTTCTCCAAGCTTCTAGGACTTTCCAATGATATCTATATATTGCATTGAGTGGATTCATGCCATGGTTGGTGAATCACTTTGCTCATAACACCAAGTTTCATACAATTCTTCCAATTTGCAAAAGCTTTTCAAACTCCATCAAATCTCTCTCAATTTCCACATTTCTTGATTGGATCATCATCAATATCACTCATAGATCAGAATTCACACAAGAATTGGGTAGAATTGGATAGGGATCATGCTGTTCAAGTTAACCATCCAAGAAGCAAGAACTTTTCAATCACAAGATCCAAGGGGCTTAGACAAGATTCATTGCATACAGAACTCAAGAGCAAGTTCACTGATCAGTTTCTCATCATTGCAAGCATTGGATCAAGAGGATTCCATAGCTGTTTTCATCATCACACCAGGTTGGTATCTTCATTCGAATTGCATGATTTGGTTAGAATCATAGGGAATTGTTAGTATAGATCTGTTAGGATGAGTTAGATGATTGATTTTGGTGAGTTTGGAGAGGATTCATGAAGGTTGATCATGGTGTACCAATTCTGTTGGAGCTTGTAACTCATAGGATAATGCATGATAATCTTCATTGAATAGCTTAATGTGATCAGCACGAGGTGTAGAGCATTTTAGGGCAAGAATTAGAGAGAATTGGAAGAAGTGATATCAGGTGAAAATGGTGAAACCAAGCTGTTATACTCATCGGGTTCAATTATTTGTTGAGTTCTAGAAAGAATTATGGGCATGGCTGTGTAGAGGGAAGCATTTAGAGCAACTTTAATCTTTACATCGAATGAATCCATGGAGAGACGAGGGAGAACAGAGGAGTGTAAGATTTCGTGCATGGTTAGGGCTTTCAGAACTTAAGGTTTGCTGGAGGTTGAAGACGACCTGTGGGCCACACGATCATGACTTTGACTTGGACTTGGTTCTGGATCCAATGGATGTGGTTTGAAGTTCAAAACGGAGGGAAACCCTGAAGGTGCTACGCACCGTTTCATTAAAACAATTCTGAATGGGCTTTGAATTCCTTGCTATGCACACCCTCCCCAATCAGGCCCAATGTGATTTGAACTAAATAATTTGCTAACTGCACCTTTTTTCGTTTTTTTAATTTTTGATATGGTTTTCTGAGTCATTGGGCCCAGACGCGCTTGCTATGCGCGCCCCCCAGTCTGGGCCCATCCTTTATTTTCAACTGCTTTTCATTACTTGATGCACCCCTTTCCATTTAATTTCCATTTAATTTCTTTCAAAATTTTTAATTCTTCAAAAAATCATAAAAAATAGAAAAATGTATGATTTTAATTGGTTCTTTTTGCATATTGTTCATAATTTTGTCAAGAAAAATATCACATAAAAAAATTGGTACTCCATTTTATTTTAATATTTTTGGCATATTTTTCTTTTAAATAGCATTTTAAGTAGTTTAATTTGATGCATGATTTTGTTAATTTTGGTTTGATTAAATGCTTGTATATTTTGGATCCATTCTTTTTAGGTTGATTAGTATAGAATGTTAGCTTGTATATAAAATTTAGTTCATATTTTTAGGACTTAATTTTAGGAGATTTGTTTAGGTGTGAATAACATGATCAAAACTAGGTTTTAGGAGATAACATAGGAGAATTAGATCCTTTCCCTTAGGAGTTGTGGATTGAATTTTTGGGGTATGGGACTATAGGGATTATGGGTAGTTAATAGATCCCTTAGAAAATATTAGGATTCCCCTACTGCTATTAGTATACTGTTTATATTTGCTTGACTGTGTGGTGTGCCCTCTCTAGGGTTATTTCTTTTGTCTGTGTGGGGTATTGGGTTTGCTTGGGGATTGGGAGAGCTGAAGACCTTGTGATGATGAAGCCATTGGAGATCAAGAGATTGAAGGCCAACTTCCAGAGTTGATGAAGAGATTCTTTGCTAGCAGCTGTTGAGGCTATAGGGTTTAGGAGCTAGGCAGAGCTCTAGAGTAGTAAACTTGATTCTCAAAACATGGAAGGTCTCGATTGCCTCTATTCCTCTCTGTGATGCAGAGTCTCTCTAAGACACTCACCCCCTTCCTTTGGAAGGCTTGGTGATAGTGTCTAAGAGATAGAACTCTTGAGAGAAATATTCTACGTGTTGTTAGCAGTCTGTTTGCCACCCTTGGTGGTCAACTAATTGCTTAACACCCAGTTCACTCTTGTGATTGATTCCTCAGCTTGGAGATTGAGACTTGAAGAAAAGCCATTGCAGATTGAAGACTGATGATCAAAGCCCTTGCTTGAAGGTTGTGGAGATGAAGATTGATGCTTGCTTGAAGCTTGTAGCTGTTTGGAGATGACTTGAAGGCAGATGGGGATGCAGAGCTGCTGTGGCTGTTTATCTTGTTTGTTGTTTATTCTTGATGTATTGATTGGTTTTCCCTGACTGTATTGTTTGCTGTTTAACCTGTTGGGTTGAAAGTGAATTTTGTTCACTTTTGCCTATTGTTTTCTAGGTTCGAGGTTGAGTGGGACTCCCTTGCCTCGCTTGTATTGTTGCATCCATGCATTTTACTGTTACTGTATATATCTGCTATTGTTTCTGTTTCCGTTTATCCCTTAGGATCTCTGTTTCTCTCTGTGCAAGAGAGGAGCATGATAGACACTAGGTCTTAACCCATGCATGATAACGTTAGGTTAGTTTGATTCCCTTTTCAACCATAGGTTAGAGTTGATGTTTCTCTTCTCATCTTAAAACAAACAGAAAAACACAATAAATATTTCAAACACAATAAAAGATACTTCTTTCGTAAAAGAATGTGAACTCATCAAAACGTCATTTTTGTCCGCTTGGACTGTTAATCAGAAAAACCTTTTTCAGAAGGAATAAAAACAATCAAAACAGACTTGTGTCGTACGTGGCCCGAACTACGTTTGCTCTGATCTTTCATGCTGTATGAAAGTATGTAGGCATAAGATGCGATATCCTAGCGAGCAACCTTCCCCTCCTTTCCCGTAGGTAGGCGAACTACGTTGACTCTGATTTCTCGTTCCAGACGGGAATACGTAGGCATAAAGTGCGATACTTTGCCGAGTCATGTTATTTTCTTTTCAGACCTCATCCTTTAGTTTAGATAGAAATGTAATTCGTACAAACCAAGCAAGCGTGGATCCCGTCGAGTACGACGGACGTGAGGGGTGCTAATACCTTCCCCTTGCGTAACCGACTCCCGAATCCAGGTTTTGGTTGCGATGACCATACCTTTTCCCGTCTTTGCGGTAGGTTTACTCTGAGCGTTTCCTTTCCCTCCCGTGGGATAAATAACGCACGGTGGCGACTCTTCTGTTCAGCCGGCGCCGATTTTCGCAGTAGCGACACCATCCTGTTGTTATTTTATTTCTTGCACTTTATTTCTTGGTGTTATATCCCTTCCATAGTCGTTTCAAACCAGTGAGGACACTGCTTGAGATGGTGTGGGAGCGACACTTTATTTCCCTTCACCTTTGTTATGTACGTTTCCTTTCAACTATTTTAATTCATTTATTTTAATTCAGTACAATAAAGCTCATTTATATATTATTTTCCATTACGCGAACTTCCCCACTTTATCCGCTTTATTCAAGCTACACAAATTTTTTTTCAAAACCGATGCACCACCCGACGCGCCAAGATAAAGGCCGGGTTAGGGAACCCCGAGAAGTAATTCTAATGATACCAATACCGCTTTGACACCTTAGATCTCCGATTTATGCGAGTCAGTTTCACTACCTACTGTACCAAAGCCTCAGGTTCAAGCACCAAACGTAGCCCCTAGTAGTTTATACAAGCAGTCAGCACCGCCTTAAGCACATACCATGTGGAAAGCCGATGAAAATAAGTGATCGGTAAGATCATAAAGAAAAAAATTGCTTCGCAACCATGTAGTGATTATCTACCTCTGATATCTCGAAATAAAAAAAATAATAGCAAAGAAAAGAAGTCCTCCGTTAGTTGGTTCATAGGTCTCTGGTTATGGACTCGGTAGGGCAAATTACAGTTCGATCCCCCACAACTTACAAATAGGACATATCAAAGGGTACCGCACTCGTGCACCAGACCTCATACAAAGAAAGACCGAAATCACTAACAGGTTATTCCACTACGTGCGTGCAAAGGTAAAGGGCTTAATGTGATTGCGCTCAAACCATTAAATATTTGATTTTAGTTATAACTACTTTAAAAGTCTCACATCAGATGGTTTGTGATCGGTTGACTTAAAAGTCTGCATCAGATGATTTGTGATTGGTGACTGTGACATATCATTACTAATAGTGTTTTGGTTATATAATCCAGGAAAAGAATCAAATACACGACGAGACTCAAACGCTAGCGAAACAGCCGAAGACACTAACAAGAGTCTTGAAAATCATTTCCTGTACTTGAAATCATATTCAAAAAACAATTCCAATTTCAAATACGTGAAAGATATTCTTGAATACTCCGGTTTCATAGGAAATGAGCAGATTCAAATGCGATACACGGTAGACCAACCAATAAAACCGTCCTTATTCATAGCACTAGAAGAATCTTTGCTTCATGAAAATGAGTATTCTGCAGAAGAGAATAACAACATGTTTGATCACCAGCTTCTTTTTAACTTGATCAACGAGACACTCTTTCAAATATATGAAAAATCGCCAACATACTTTCCGAGACCTTTCACTTTCAACCATTGGCTCAAACCAATGCCAAAAGGAAATTACATTGTTAAAGAAGTATGGGATAATGTCAGTTCATATTTGAGTTTGAGACCAGAGTTAGACCAGACATTAGAGGATGTCGTTGGTCGTGATTTAATGAAAAGAAGTGGTGGATGGATGAATCTTCAACAGGAAGAGGAGTGTGTAGCACTGGATTTGGAGGAAATGATCATAGATGATTTATTAGAAGTAATTATCTTCTCTTAGATTTATTAATCCTCAATACTGAGTATGTTTCGGTTCATTGAATATTTTTTGATGTAAAATATAGGATTCATATGTAGATTAAGATGTAAAAAGGATTGTATGAAAGATGTTTTGTAGAGTAGATTTAGGAGTTTTGATGCGTATTAATTCCCAGGTAAATAACATAGGATTATACATGTCTCTTTTAAGTAAATTATCTTTCGACAAGATCATTTTATGAGGAAACCATCGCCACTTAAAGAAATTCTAAATAAATTTATCTATATGACTCAAAGTGGTTTTGAATGGGTGAATAAGAAACATGGGACCATGAGCAAGAATTATGATGCATTAATCAAAAATTTGGAAATCCAGATACGGAAATTGTCTCGATAGGTAGCAGCAATACTATATTCTAATGGAGGATTTATGGGTAACACTGTTGACAATCCAAAGAATGAGCCTGGTAAGGAAATAAAGTTGGGAAGTGAAGCACCATATTCAGAGCAAAGTTAAGTGTTTTGAGAAAAGAAGTGAGTCAAGATGAGGTTGAAGAAGTAGATGAAGCATGGGATATGGAAGAAGAGTGAGAGGTTGAAGAAAAAAAGAGATGAGTGAAAAAAATGAGTGAATACTCTGTGAGGGGGATACACTTGATAAGATGATAGATAGAAACTCACCCTTGAGGAGAGCAAAGAAAAAAATCCGCAATGATGCAAGTCCCAAACTACCTTACTATGTAAATCCACCTTCCCCATTCATCAAGAAGAAACCTAAGACAGAATAAGATGAAGGGCTTTTAGAAAAAATCAAAGACATGTTTGCCAAACTCCAAGTATGTATTATGTATCATGAAACTTTATAACCAATGCTTAAATATGCTAAATTCATGGCAACGGGGCGGGTTTAAGCAGTCCCGAACCCGCCTCCCCGAAACAGATCCACCCTCGCACCTGCACCCAATCGGGGGTAAGAAACTACCACTCAGAGCCACCCCACCCACAAAACTATTTTTTTAAAATAAGTATTATTTTCATAACAATAAAAATTAATAATTTAGTTAAATAATTAATTATTTTAATAATAAGCATGTTTCTAAAGAGAAAAATAACTAATAAACATGTTTTTCTAGTAAAACTATTTCTAAAAATTAAAATAACTCTAATAAATGTATAATAAAATAATTAAAATGAGGCATAAAAGTAAATTAAAATAGACCGGGGTCGGGTGCGGGGCGGGTAGTAGCATCCCCTGTCCCTGCACCCACACCCGTAATAGAAAATCGAGTTTTACCCACACCCGCACCTAATTAAACCGGGTTTCCCCTGTTAATTTCGGGGCGGGTTCGGGAGGGACTGGATTTCCTTGCCATGCCTACATCTCTACATGTAAAAAAGAGTATCATGGCAAGACGAAGGTCTCATCCCGGCACGACGAGAAGAGTATCATGGCGTGATGCCATGTATCATAGTTGTTGGACAAAGATGTTAAAATTTTGGCGGTTGGACCCTACCATTGCCCATCGTGGCACGATAGGGTGTGGATTGCGCCATGATGGCAGCAAATCCAGACATATAAATAGTGTCTTCTTTGTCACTTTTTTATACAACTCTTTTTCTTCTCGTACATTCTTCTAGTAAATTGCAATATTCTCTTATCTTCTAATATTTTTTCTTCACTTTTTGCCACGTTACATTGTTTGTTGTGAGATTTTTCTTGTGCAGTTAATGGCACCAAAGCACAACAAAGGTTTTGCCACATCCACTTTAACCGCCCCACAATAACCTAACTATCCAACAGACAAGTTTATCTCTCAAGAACATGCTAAAATATTTTTGAGAGTTAGGAATTACAACATATTGCCCGAAAGGGCATTTGATTTCCTAAAGCTGAAAGTTTATGAAGAAATTTCTAACTTGTTGGAAGAAAAGGGTTGGATCAAATTGAACAATTTGATCTAAGACACAAACAAAAGAATTGGGTTGGAATTCTATGCAAACGTGTTGATGACGCGAAAATATATATTATAAATGTCATGTTTTTATGCTGTTAATGTTTGGTTTCACCCCGATTTCAGATTGTTCCGAGCTATTTGTCAAGTGTTTTGCAGGTATATGAAGTTCACACTCCAAATGAGCAAGGCAGAGAAAACTCATGATCAAATGCACAGAACAGAAGAAAAGAGACAGGAAATAGCAGAAAACGAAGATTTTGCTGATGTCACGGTCGTCACACCCTTGTGACGCCCATCACAGGCATCACGATCGTTACAGGCCCATCACGACCGTCACACTCCTCACGACCGTCACACCTCCCTCACGAATGTCATGCAGGAAAAAACAAACTAACGTTCAGAATGAGAACGTGTCCACGACGAATGAGATATTGGTGGAATGTTTTTCCCTATATTGTCTCACCATCAACTCCACTTCCTCAGGACTTCACGCAGAGAATCTCAGCTATAAAAGGAGGAGTCCTGGACCAGAAAAAGGGGGTCGCATTGAAGATAACAAACTGCTGTCAAATTTTATTACTGAAGCCAAATATTGTTCTTGTTTCCTTTTCCTTTCCTTTATTTCTATTGCATTGCTTTTATTCCTTTTCCCGCACGTTTACTTCTCGCCAAAGTAGAATCCTGCCGACATTGTGGAGGACCACTCAAGAACCGAGAGCTGAATTATTTATAGGTTTTTATTATTAATTGATTTTTCATTACCGTTATAATGCATGTTTACTTATTATTCTGCCATTATTCAATTATGCAAGTTCTAAATCCCATGTCTAGCTAAAATGCATTAATCGGTATGTAATAAATTAGTAGGACAGGATTCGATAACATCCGGTGTTTTTTCTGCTTTTCAAACATGTTTCTGGCCGTAGTTTTTAATTTAATTTCCTAAATAAATCTTCGTCGTGACAGCGAGAAATTATTTACAGTAGTTTTGCCACGACAGTGGGAAATTCATTAAGGTACGAACCGGCACGCGAAAGCTGGGGTTCGAATCGGATAGTAAAAACTAGGCATTCATTTTAAATACAGCGAAAGCGCTTTAAAAGGAATCAGAACTTAATAGTTTTCAAAAAGCGATTTAAACCCCGGATGGGATAGCGAAAGCATACATTCCGCCTTAGAGTTGTGACTAGCGTCAACAACCAACGTGAGACAAATGTCTTTAAACGATTATTTTCTCCTGAAAACTATTTTGAAAATACTAAACCGCACCAGTGACATGTCGAATCCCCGAAAACTAAGGTATTGCATACTGATTTCTCTTATTATTATTTTAAAAAAAAAAAACCTTATAACTTTCTCTTAATTTAGCCTTTAATTCCACACTTACTTCCTTAAAACCTTTTCCGACGTAGCTAAACATAGTAACACTCGATAGCACTAGATTGATTACGAGTCCCTGTGGGATCGATATCTTTATTACTACACGATAGACTGTGCACTTGCAGTTGGTTCAGTTAGACTTAGAAAGTCGCGATCAAGTTTTTGGCGCCGTTGTCGGGGACCCGTTTAGTCAATAGTGTAAACCTCTGTTACGTAGTATAGACTAGGTTAACTATTTTATTTCCCATTTACTCGTTCATCGATTGTATGCCAATTACTCGCTCACAAAGCGAAAATTTGCTACCAACAATCGTCGAACTTGAGCGCTTCCTACACTTAGGAAGACGATTCATAGAACATCAACGAAGACGTAATATTCCCGAGCTTCTTGCTCACACTCCTGAATCTGAAGAAGAGTCAAAGATGGCTGAAGGACCTCAGAACATACCTCTGAAGGATTACGCTACCCCATCTTAACTAGAGCCTCACAGTAGCATTGCTGCCCCCGCTATCAATCAGAATGATTTCGAACTAAAACCATCATTGCTCTCAGCTGTACAACAACATCAATTCTCAGGAAATGCAACCGAGGATCCGAATGAATATTTAACGAAGTTTGTGCAGTACGCAGACACAGTAAAGGCAAATGGCGTAACTCCAGACGCAATAAGACTTCGTCTTTTTCCTTTCTCTCTTAGAGATAGAGCTTGGGCTTGGTTACAATCCTTGGCGTCCAACTCCGTTACGACGTGGGAACAATTGAAGAACATTTTCTTAGCGAGATACTTTCCGCCAAGCAAAACTGTTATGCTAAGAGCTCAAATTAACGGATTTCGACAGAAAGATGCCGAATCTCTCTACGAAGCATGGGAAAGATTCAAAGATATGATGAGAGCATGTCCTCACCACGGTCTAGAAGACTGGGTGATTATTCATACCTTCTATAATGGGCTTCTATACAACACCAGATTAACAGTAGATGCCGCCACGGGCGGTGCACTTATGGATAAGCCTTACGATGAAGCCTATCAACTTATCGAGAACATGTCTCAGAACCATTGCCAATGGGGAGGTGAAAGAACTCCATCAGAGAAACACGCAGCAAAAGGTGGGATGTACGAGATCAGCAGTCTTGAAAAGTTCAACGCTAAGGTAGATGCCTTAACGCAGAAGATCGACAGTCTAACTATAACACTACCTGCAACCGTAGCTGCTGTAACCCCAAACTGTGAGTTGTGTGGAATCACTACTCACACTGCGCCCGAATGTCCGTTACTGGCAGGAATCCCTACAGACCAGGTGAACTACGCTCAAGGTAATCCTTACGCGAACACCTACAACCCGGGCTGGAGAAATCACCCAAACGTTTCCTATAAAAGTGATAACGCATTGCAAGCACCTGCTGTTCCACCAGGATATCAGAAACCAGCCGTAGCTGCTCCAAATGCCCCTAGAAAATTAAATCTTGAATTGATGATTGAAAAATTCATAGCTACTCAAGCTCAAACGAACAAGGAATTCCTGAATCAAAACATACACACTAGCGAGCAGATTAAACAACAAACCAACAAAGTAGACGCTTTAGCAACCCATAACAAAATGCTTGAAACACAGATATCACAAGTGGCTCAACAACAAGCCTCTGCAGCCGCACCCGCTGGCACATTTCCTAGACAGCCAGAACCTA